GTGTGTGTGTGTGTGTGTCGTGTGTGTGTGTGTGTGTGTGTGTGTGTGTGGTGTGCGTGCGTGTGTGTGTGTGTGTGTGTGTGTGTGTGTGCGCGCGTGCGTGCGTTCGTGTGTGTTGTGTGCGTGCGTGCATGTGTGTGTGCGAGTTTTCACGGCCGCGCTTGTGTCCATCCTGTAGGCATTGATACAAATACACTCACTCACATGTAATAGAATCGTACATATTTATATATATAAGCACATATATATTATATATATGCTCTGATTTTAATTTTCGATTAATACCAACGGTAGCAAATCAACCGAGCGCGATGGTTCACAATAGGTGGATGTATTTAATACAGACAGTTATCCAATGGATGCGAGGAGACGAGAGAGTGAAGGTTACCCACATGCGAGAGAAAATGCGGTATAATATACACACGCAATCCGACCGTACACAACATGAATCCGGGTCCCGGTTTTCCCGGTTTGTGTGTGAGTGAGGAGCACTCTCTTGGGACTCCATGCAGTCAGGACAGTCTCTCCTGATGGAGTTTGCCAAAAGCTCCATTCATAATGTCCATGTTTTTACGGTGAGGCGAGATTGGCTTTTAAGGATGTCCACACTCTTTGTGATATCTCTATCGAGATGTTGTGAGATCGAGATGAGGTTTATCCAGCATCAGACACTTTCGTCGTCGGGTGCCCGCAGTCACAGATGGATCGCCGAAGCGTTGAGGAGTTGTTCGAGAAGCGAATCTTTCCCCGTTGCGTCGTCCGAACGCATGCAGACGCGCGATTGCAAATGGCGGCGATGCCACTGATTTTCGTGATTGATAATCGTCACTTCACGCTTCACGCTGCTCGCATCACGAGTTCGTTCACGCCCCGCTCACCACCGACCAGAACCTCACCGACCTCACCGCCGATGCCACCGCTTCGTCCATTATTTCGATTATGTACCGATAGGTGGCGCCACGTGTCAAGCTTTCTTTATTAGTTTATCGTCTGCTCGTCGAGGCATCGCAGCGGCTCGTGTGGCTAGTTCGTCGGCGGCAACGAATGCACCGTAGTTTCCCTGCACCAACGAGCGAGCGGAGAGTTCATTTTACACACATCTTCGCGGGTATTGATTCCATGGCAGCATGGCCTAGTAGTAGCTGCTTATAACCCCACCCCACGCCCGCGCCCGCTCGCGCTTCTGCATTCTTGGTTCTACGCGTCTCCCGTATACGATCCTTGCTACTAGCGGTATCGCGTAACAGACAGCGAGAGGGAGGGGGAGAGGAGGAATGGGGAAAGGGGAAGGAATCGGGAAAGGGGAAGAAATCGGGAAAGGGAAAAGAATGAGAAGCGGGGATGGAATGGGAAGGGGAAGGAATTAGGAAAAGGGGAAAGAAGTGGGGGAAGAGGAGGGAGAGCTTTAGTCGATATATACCCTCTACGACTCTCCAATCGATTGCCCTTCTCGTTCGTTCGCTCGCTCGTTCGTCTGCTACTGCTGCGGCACGGCTAAACATCTGTTTCCCGAGTCTATAAAAAACTACCATCGCCGCTTTTGGCAAAAACCCGATGTTTTCTTAACGACGTACCCTCGGTGTCGGATCGACTTGACTCGACTGCTACCGGACTAAGCAAGTGCATCTGGATTCGATCGGGACCGACAGTAAACAATTACTGTTATCGTAGAAAATTAAATATACTCATTCGCGAATCGAATTCTGTTTTAAATTAGCGATAGAAAAACTTATTTCGACGCGCGCGACCAATTTACGACATCAATTTATGACACAAGAGCTAATAATGCCTTTTATAGCTACTACCAACTTTAATAGATTTTATAGTATTATTAGCTCTTGATAATAAATACCCTGTCATCAAGAGCGTATTAAGCATAACTTCTTAATTAATTTAACATTCTTAATACGCTCTTGCTGTTACCCATGATCATCATAAACAAGACAGAAGTATATACGTGTACACGTGTCGAATAAATAAATATACGAGTGATAAAATATACACGCGTACACGCTCGCGTACACGCACGCACGCACGCACGCACGAACACACACACATTTATGAGCTTCATAATCACCGTCGGCACTTGGCATATTAAATAAATAAATAAATATATATATATGTATATATATATATATATATATATATATATATATACAGAAGAGAGAACAGATATATCGACACACACACCGACACACACACACACACACAATCAGAAGCCAATAAACTGAGCCGTATTATAGTGATAATAGTGATTAGTTAGTTCCATACGGCGACCCCCATGCGCCTTGCCCCTCATCCCTCTCCTCTCCCCCTCGTCCTCCCAACTCCCCCTCTCCTCCCCCCTCACTGTTCCCCTCTCTCTGCCCACTCCCCTCCTTTACACGCTCATCCCTTTCCTCTCTTCCTTCTCCTACTTCCTCCGTCTCCCCACTCCTTCCATCTTTCCCCCTTCCTCAATCCTCCTCCTCCCTTCCCTCCCCTCGCAATCCACCTTCATTACCCCTCCTCCTTTCCCCTCCTCCATCTCTCACTTGCTATCTCATTCTTCCCTCTTCCCCTCTCCCCCTCCATCTCCCCCTCCCTCTCTTCCCCTCGCCATCCTCTCTCCCGCTCCCTTGCTCTTCCTTCTCATCCTCCGCCCATCCTTCCCCTCCCCTCCCTCGCCCCTCCACCCCACCTCCGGCTCACCCTCTCCCTCCGCCTCCCCTCACCCTCCCCTCGCCCTCCTCCTCCCTTCCCTCCCCTCCCTCCCCTCCTCCCTCCGCCTCCCCGCCCGCTCCCCTCCCCTCGCCCCCTCTCCCTCCCCTCGTCCCTCTCCTCCCCTCCCCCTCCCCCTCCCCTCCCCCCTCTCCCCCACACACCCTTCACTGGCCGTTCGTCTGGCACGTCGACGCATTATTCACCGTCTGCTTCGTCTCGAGCAGCTGAATGTTCTGCGTGCCGCTAGGCGCCGCCGCCGTGTACGCGCTGGCGGTGGTCGCCTCCTTGCGGCAGAGAAAGGCGGCGACGAGGCTGTCGCGGAAGAAACGCGACGCCAGGCAGTAGACGTAGAAGTTCGCCGCGAAGCTGATCACCTCCAACAGGTTCGTTAACTTGATCGTCAGCAGCCATCGATTCGTCTCCTTGGTGATGAACATCATGACGAGCGCCGGAGTCATGCAGACGAAGAAGACGGCGACGGTGCAGACGAGAAGGCCCATGAGGCGGCGATTCTTCGTGTCGGTGACCTTCATGCGTTTCTTGTCGGAGCTGGTCATCTCGGTTTGTCGGTTCCAGGCGTCGCGCCAGCGCATCTTCTTGTGGAACGCGTAGAACGTGCTCCCGTTGAGACCGAGGAGAAGGAAGAAAGGAACGATGCGGGAGAGAGCCGACTGAAGCCATACGTACGCCGTCCACCAGGTGGCGTACGCTCCCGACCGCAGCAACTCGTTGGCGCGAAGATCGTACCTGACGTCGGCGGTGGCGTTCGTGTCGTTTCCCGCTCCGACGACGACGACAACGTACTCGAGGCCGTACGGCGCCGACACGAGCGCCGAGATGGCGAACACGACGACGATGAAAATCTTCGCCTGAAACACGGCCTGCTTAGCAGCCGAGTATCTCACGGGCCGACACACAGCCATGAACCTCTCGATGCTCAACGCCACTGTAAGATAGTTACTTGTCGACATGAAGGCATTGAAGGCCGGCTGCTCGACGTGTGCGTAGAAGAACGAGTAGGCGTACGTCGGTAGCTGAAGATGCCACATCGTGTCTGTAACTAGAATGATCAGCAGCACGGTAAAGTCCACCACCATTAAACTACGCAGGAACACATACGAGGGGCCCTTCAGTTGTCGGCTGGAGAGCGCTAGGAGGCCGAGGGCGTTTCCGAACATCCCCAGAACGCAGACGAGAGGCTCAACGACGGAGATGGAAATCACCGCCTTGTTGTAGTCTTCGATGTCGACGTCGTCGAACGTCGGCGACGACGACGACGCGTTCATCGTTGTAGGGTGGCAGCACCGGCGAGTTGAAGATGGTCTAGTGTTTTTTCGCTGTTGTTCGCGAGGTGGTGTAGTTGATGCTCCCGCCACCTATCGGCGGGAGGAGATCGAGAATTATCGATGCGCGGGAAATCGGGGCGTGAAGAAAGGATGGAGAGGAGAAATATTGTTTATGGGATCACGAGGGGCGCGCGCTCTCTTTCTCTCTCTCTGACTCTCTCGCTCTCTCTCTCTCCCAATTTAGCTGTTCACTACTGGTTTGCAGTCGTAATGTGAGAGAGGTTCTCTCTCTCTCACTCTCTCTTTCTCTAACCGCCGTCGACGCGAGACACTCACTCTCTCTTCTTCTTCGTCTTCTTCTCCGTGTCACAGCTAGCAACACACACAAACACTCACGCACTTCCCGGCGGCAATTCTTTCGATCTTTCCCAAACTCATGATAATGTCTTACTGCGCGGACGGTGACGAACACACCCGATGAGACAGCGCAGACGATAGTTAGTTAGAGCGCGACGCTGCCGCCACCTCTCGGCGGGAAGAAGAACTAATCGGAACGCTGTCGACACGCCGGGAGTTCGTTTCCTTTGGCGACGTTTGTTATGGTTGAGGTGTTTATAACTGGCGCCGGTCTCGCCCACGTCGCGCAGGTGTCGCTAGCGTCGCCGACTCGTGCGAGTGCGTGACGTCACAAGGCCGGGAATTCTGCAAAAACAAGATGAAGTGGAAAAAGATGAGTGTTTTGATGGAAATGCTTTGCGAGAGCGTCGTGCGAGAGATCGTAACAAGATGCACGCGGTGTGCGAAATGTCGAGAGAGAGAGAGAGAGAGCGGTCTATCTCTCTCTACATATATATCAGAAGAGCACACTGATGAAACAGCGCAGGATAGTTTCCTATTATCTACTTCTGATAATATATACTCCTAATATCTACTATCTTACTTCTACTTTCTTCTTCTTCCTCTCTTCTTTCTTCTTTCTCTCCTCCTCTTCCTGCCTACTTCTTTTCTCCCTCCTCCTTCCTCCTCCTTTTCTTCTTCCTTCCTCCTCCTCACATCCTCCCCTCCTCCTCCTTCTTGCCTCTTCCTGCCCTCTTCTTCTTCTCCTCCTTGCCTCACGCAGCTTCTCTCTTGTCACTCTTCTCTCTCTCTCTCTCTTCTCTCTCTCTCTCTCTCTCTCTCTCTGTTTACCGCTCTCTCTCTCATTCTCTTTCTCTCTCTATCGCTCTCTCGCTTCTCTCTCACTCTCGCTCTCTCTCTCTCTCTCTCTCTCTCTCTCTCGACATTTCGCACACCGCGTGCATCTTGTTACGATCTCTCGCACGACGCTCTCGCAAAGCATTTCCATCAAAACACTCATCTTTTTCCACTTCATCTTGTTTTTGCAG